ACCTAAATGAGAGTTGAAGATCTCATTAATAGGAACTCAACGGTAAAAAGACAGACAAAAACAGAGTCCGTATGAAGGAGTTACAGATTCTTCGCGGTCATTTAACAGTCTAAACGCCTCGTACTGTTAAATTTAAGATCGGTCAAGAATTAGCCGACGGAGTCAAAATGAAAGTTGTAGATATTATTTTTACCTACGCGTGGATATAAAGAACGTCAAAAACGGAGGTCGTATGTGAAAGTTACAAATTTTAGAAGTCGGAAGTGTGCTGTGCCAAAATGGTTGATGTGGCACAATCTTGGCCATTGCTTTCTCCCCAAGTCTTGCCACTAGATGGTGACATGTGGCACCAACTTCAGCCATTTTCACCCTATAAATACCACCTCTCCCCCCTCATTTTCTTCACACCTTTCCCATTCTTTCTTCTCTTTACTCTCTCTCTAAAACCTCTCTCTAGCCCCGAAATCCCCCGAAAAGTCTAGGGAACCTCCCTAGCACGAGGCGGAAGCCCCGGAGTGCTCGACGGCTCCGAGAAGAAGAGATTTCCGGCTCGGAAACGCTGCTCCAAGCAAAGCCTGGTTTTCTATAAAACCCGCTGTAAGTGAGCTACGCCTACGCTATTTTTAATATAGTTTTTATTTAATTATATTAACGTTATTAAGAACATATAATAAATACTTGGGCTATTATTATGGGTTATATAATTTTTTTAACGCTTATATAATAGTAATAATAGCTAGACTATTAATTAGTCTCGGCGAATAATAGACTAAAATCTATTGGTGATAATACTAGGTTTCGTCGAAGGAAATTATTTTAAAGTAAACGAAGCGCTGTCCGAGTACCGAGTCACCACCTTCTCAGGTGAGTGCATGGTCCCTTTCATCTTACACATAGATATGAAGTATTTATTATATAATTTACGTGTTGTGAGTGCATAGTCTCTTTCATCTTACACTTAGATATGAAGTATTTTAATATAAATTACGTGCTATGTGTACATATTGTCTGAATACTTGCTGTCTATGCTGAGTAAAAGATTTTTATACATGTTTTAAATGATTTAAACTGTATACGTATTTTATATCTACAAAACGTGTTGGGAAAAACATGGGTAGATGAAATAGTTGTTTTGTGATAACACGATGGGAGACATCAGTGTTGTCAGTGATCCAGTCATCTAGTGGAGTATAGATGACGACTATGGACGATACTAGACGGTCCAGTGGAACGATAGCAGTTTCGTAACATGTAGGTATTTTTGAACTAGGTGCTCATTAGGTATTTTTGAACTGAGTGTGTTCACTACGTATCTTTGAACTGAGTGTGTTCACTAGGTATTTTGAACTAAGTGTGTTCACTAGTTACTTTTAACTAAGTGTTTACAAGATGTTTCGGACTACGTGTTCACCAGATATATTCTATAAGCCTTGATAATGATGGACTTCGTGTCGATTCCTTAGGATGATCCTTAGGAATAAATAAACGAGGAATAGCGGGTTCTTAGGGTAGATCCTTAGACTAAAGAAGATAATGGGGATGGGTAATTGGGTTGATTGTTTGATTGTTTAAACATAATAATTATATTATTGTGGGTTGAAAACCCTATGTACTCACCAGGTTTCCCAACCTGACCCACTCAGTTTATGTATATCACAGGTGATGAAATGAAGTGACATTACACTGAGAGATTTAAAGAGATGTAGATCACTAGTGTAAACAATTGTAAGTTCTGTTTATGCTTATGTTTCTGTATTAACGATGACATCCCAAACGTTTTAAGATGAATAAAAATACGTTTCTTCGAAAATGTTTTAATAACGTATTTATCGTGTTTTTCTGGGAACAAATTCCGCAACCTTTTTATAAAATGAAGTACTCTGATTTTCATAAAGCATAAACAAAATCGGTCTTTTCTGGCCGTGATTTTGGGGATGTCACACGAAGCTTAGTCGCTACTTTTCGAGCGCGGCGAATTCGATACAGTTTTGTAAATCCGAAATAGAATGAGAATTAGCCAACGAGGTCTAAATGAGAGTTGAAGATCTCATTATTAGGAACTCAACGGTAAAAATACAGACAAAAATGGAGCTCGTATGTGAAAGTTATGGACGAAGCTTAGTCCCTACTTTTCGAGCGCGGCGAATTCGATACAGTTTTGTAAATCCGAGATAGAATGAGAATTAGCTAACGAGGTCTAAACGAAAGTTGAAGATCTCATTAATAGGATCTCAATGGTAAAATGACAGACAAAAACGGAGCTCGTATGCAAAAGTTACGGACGAAGCTTAGAGGCTACTTTACTATAAAACTCCTATAAATACAAGGGTGAACTCCTCATATTTTCTTCACACCATAAGCATCTCTTTCTCTCTCTAACTTCTCTCTAGCCTCCCTAAACCCCTCCCAAGTCTACGGAACCTCCCTATCACGAGAAGAAAGCCCCGGAGCACCCGACGGCTCCGAGAAGAAAAGCTTTCGGCTCGGAAACGCTGCTCCAACGAAGCTCGGTTTTTAATAAAAACCCATTGTAAGTGAGTTATGCCTATACTATATTTAATATAGCTTTTATTTAATTATAGTAACATTATTAGGACCTTAAAATAATTATTTGGGCTATTATTATGAGTTATATTGAGTGTTATTTAACGCTTATATAATAGTAATAATAGCTAGACTATTAATTAGTCGTGGTTAACGTTAAAAACTAAACACTAGTGGTATTGATACTAGGTTTTGTCAAGGAAAATTGTTTTGAGATAACGAAGTGCTGTCTGAGTTCGGAATCACCACCTAATCAGGTGAGTGCATGTCCCTTTCATCTTACACATAGATATGAAGTATTTAATATAAACTACGTGCTATGTGTGCATATTATCTGAATACTTGCTGTCTATGTTGGATGAACGTTTTATACATGTTTTAAAGGATTTAAATTGTATACGTATTTTATATATACAAATATGTGGGGTATGATGATGGGTAGATAGATGATGAGCGATAGAAGATGACGTGAGTATACATTGGCAGCTATAGACTTAGTGCCTATGGGACAAACACCGGTAGCTATGGACTTAGTACATGTCAGACGTTGGTAGCTATGGATTTAGTACCTGTTAGAAATTGGTAGCTATGGACTTAGTACCTATTAGTTAGACACTGGTAGCTATGGATTTAGTACCTGTAGGAATTGGTAGCTATGGACTTAGTACCTGTTGAACGCTGTTAGCTATGGATTTAGTACCCGATGAGTAGGATATAGCAGCTATGAAATTAGTGCTTTACGAACTAACATCGGCAGCTATGGATTTAGTGCCAGTCCTATAACCCTGGAAGTAAGGGACTTCGGAATAAACAAATGCAGGATAGAAGACTCTTAGGTTAAATCCTTAAGAGTAAAGAAGATAACATGGATGGGTAATGGGGTTAATTGTTTGATGATTAAACATAACAATTATATTATTGTGGGTTGAAAACGCTATGTACTCACCAGGTTTCCCAACCTGACCCACTCAGTTTATGTATATCACAAGTGTTGATATGAAGTCACTTTACACTGAGAGATTTAAAGAGATGTAGATCACTAGTGTAAATAAATGTAAGTTCTGTTTATGCTTATGTTTCTGTATTAACGATGACATCCCAAACGTTTTAAGATGAATAAAAATACGTTTCTTCGAAAATGTTTTAATAACGTATTTATCGTGTTTTTCTGGGAACAAATTCCGCAACCTTTTTATAAAATGAAGTACTCTGATTTGTATAAAGCATAAACAAAATCGGTCTTTTCTGGCCGTGATTTTGGGGATGTCACAACAAGTATATACAAATTTTCAAGTTATACGACAAATATACAAATGACTATTGTAAACATTATTATAACCATTTTTCAAGTTATACAACCACTTATAGGATAAGTATATATAATTTTTCAAGTTATACAACAACTATACAAACGAAAAATAGCATATTCTAACTATGCTATATCAATTTCTCAACTTAAACCACTAACCAAACATATTGTAAACATTATTGTAACAATTTATTTAACTTTGAACTTTAAAAAAAAAAAAAAAAAAAAAAAAAAAAAAAAAAAAAAAACATATTCTAACCATTTTTTACTAAATATACAACTAGCCAATGCACATTCTACGCAGTCTATACTTGTATATTCATAAAACCACTAACAAAATAGGATTAAAACTTCAAATTTACTAATAAATAATATTAAAACTATCAAGTACAACAAAATTAACCAATCACAAATAATATAATTTTATTTTTTTACACTAACTAATACAATAAATAATAAAATAATAAAAACATATATTAAAAAAAATGTTAATTAAAACATAAAAAAAAGTTAAAATCTAACCATATTTTCGGGATTGTTGAAAAAATCGTCTATTTTCTTCAAGAAATCATCACAGAGAATCGTCGAGAGATAGAGTTTTTCGATATTGACGAGTGAAAAATGAAGGGAAAAAAAGGTTTTATACTTTTTTTTTTCGTAAAATCACAGGTGAAACACGAAAATCACAGATGGACTATTCCATCTACGAATGTACAAGTGCCTAAAGCACATCTATGCTTTAGGCGCTTGTACATTTGTAGATGGAAGGGCAAAATCGTAGATGGGTCATTTCCATCTGCGATTTCAGTGATTATTATTGCAATTTTTATTTTATTTTTTGGCTAAAATTTTAAGGTTATTAGTGTATTTGGATAATTTTGTAATTATCTTTTTAATTTTTATTTTAATGTTATTAATTTAATATAATTAAAATATCAATTTTAAAACTTAAAATTTTAAATGAAAGTGAATTGAAAAATCACATTACATTAATTAGGAATCACCCATAAAAAAAATGGAGAAGAAAAATATTATTTTATTAGAATTAGAATACGAATATTCATGACAAAAAAATTAAATAAAAAAAAAAACAATTTTCTCTTGGCAAAATCAAAGGTTTTATGAACTTCACGCACATAAATATGTATCAGGATTGTGATTCAATGATTTTTATATCGTCAACAGTCAATGTTCCTGAGTGGTCAACATCAAGATTCTTAAACCCTTCAACCACAATCGCAATATCTTCATTGCTCACCTTCCCCATCTCTCTCAACTTATACACAATATATTCTGCAGCACTGTGAAAACACAAAGCCAAATGATAGACATAGAAACGCTTAGAAAAAAATAAAAATAAATAAAATAAACATTGAATGTTGGTGTTTCAAATCTACCTGACAACTTTATCATCATCAAGATCGGCTTTCTCAAGATCTTGAATCGTCAACTTCCTGTTAAGTACCCATTGAACAAGCATTTGTCGTCTATTATCAGTCCATAATTCCACTAAATACACAAATAGTTGTGCTAAACAGACAGTAGTAATCAAGATCCAGAAAATGGCAAACAAACGTCCTCCTTGAGTCGAAAAACTCTTATCTCCATATCCTAATGTCGTGATTGTAGCACAGACACAATAGAAAGCTTCAAAGTAGCTCAATTGTTCAACAAGTGACAAAAACAAAGTTCCAACAGTCATGAGGAAGATAATAAGTGTCAAAATAGTAAAAAACTTGTACTTCACTTTATTTGTTTCGGCTTCTTTAAGGATCTGATTTGGACCATATGTCTCATGCATGTGTATCGCTTTTACAAACAAGATTTCTTGTTTTCCAACTATGTAATCTGCTGCTTTGCTAAGAGCAAAACCACCAAGAGCCATTCCTGTAAACACAAAGATACAAGCTAAAGACTTTGCCAAATTGGTTTTTGGTCCTACGTCACCATATCCTGCAGCTGTCATTGTGATGACACAGAAATAGATGGAATCCAGGATTTTGTTGGTTTTTTTCCCACTGATTTGATCTTGAATTAGGGAAAAACAGATGGTTCCTAGGGTAAGGTAAGCAGCTAAAATAACTGACACTTTCTTTAAACTTATTTGGTCTGTGGAAATTGATGATGGGTAAAAACAAGCTTTGATTTCGTGTTCTTTTCCTCTTGCAAGTAAGGCGTCTTTCGTAGCATCATCACCCATCATGCATGTAATTAGAACAAGGAAAAATATGAAAGAAAGGAACGTTTTGTGAATTCAAGAGAAGTAGTTTGTTGCCTTGATGCTTTATATATGGACAAGGGTTGCCTGATTATCCATTTTGGGTGTAGAAAAGATCCATAATTACAAACATTTGCTACATGATGCTCGTATCTTTTACTATATGACAAAGGATGGTACATATGACTGAGGACAAAATATGGAATAATATATACATGGGTGTTATTTATTTGGAGGATATATTTCAACATTTAACTAATGCCCCATCACTTTGGTATCTAGATGTAACCCGAATGTTGTCATGTTAATGAGACATTGAATGTTGTCATATTTTTAAGGTAAATCAAGGTAAATGAAATGACCATAACCTTAAAAAAAAAAAAAATGTAATTTGAGTACGAATTTAGCGTACAATTGTGAAAACTTATGCTATACCTCAGATGCAAGACAAATATTCCAGGAGGGGTAAAAAGGGGAAATCCGTAAAATAAAAGGCATCTTAGTGGAGGGGTAATTAATTTAGGTACTTTATTTATACATCTTGTTTGTTGCATCGGTGCTTATAAGAAGGTAGTACATTAATTTAGGTACTTTATTTATACATCAAATTCTAATAAGCATTAGGTTTTTCATGTGTTGTTTTTGAGTATCAATCAATACATGAAGCATTTTGATTATCTGTTCTTGTTTTGAGTATCATCTTGTTAGTCACTTCATAGCAACTTACAAATGTCTATGAATTTATAGATCTTTATAGGAGTTTGATATTGAGTTGTTAACAAGAAAATATACCAATTTGGTTGGTGTTTCTTCTATTTCTTACCATGTAAGATTTATGGATTAATTTCAATCAATAAACAATTTGTGGTTAACAAACAAAACAAATTGTGTTAATCGAATCAAGTGAGCCATACAAGAAAAGAAAGACACAAGCCTCACGGATAAGGTGATAAGTATGCCGAACTATTATCATCTTACATTATACATTACACAAGAAACAGGTCAAAACTATGGTATTTTGCTATTAGCCAACAAAATCACTATAGATTAACCATGTTCATGATTACCATCGTCATGGGCATTGGACTAGTAATAATAATCATAACTAAACTCGTTGATACCAATCATGGCAGAAACCACTTGAGTAACAATGTAAAATCCACCTCCAAGAATTGTCAAAACAAGAATGGCTGAAATGGGGTTCTTCAATAACTCATAAAGAGGCTGAAAAACTGCATATAGAACACCAGTACTCACAGTCAATGCATAAAGCCCATATCTTCTCATGTTATCCCAAAAATCTTCCATCAATGGCCCTTCTGGGCCAAAAGCTAATGCCGTTTGGTGGTTATCGGAACCCATAAGAAGCATCATGAACCCTAAGGACACAGCTCCTACTATCACATACCTCGAATTGTCGCCAAACGGGATGAATATCTCTGTTTCTGCTGATAAGTCTAAGAGGTGAAGTTCTTCATCTCCAGATAACTTTTCAATTGAAGATGAGCCGTTGGGTTTTTCTGTGATTTTGACTGTTTCTGATTCAATCAACAGGGGTCTATTAGAAAGTTTAATTCTTGATGGGGATTTAGTGATTTGTGATGAGGACTTTGGTTTTTTGATTAAGAGAGATGGTGATTTCGTTTTGGAGGAGACGAGAAACGAAGGGCTATTGGCGATGAGATTAATGTGAGATGGGGTGTAGAACTGAGATCTCAGGGTGAAGCTCTTCATGTTGCTTCTTTTTTCTGTTTTTTTGAGCCTTGAAAAACGAAGATGGAGAGATCAAGAGATATCTGTCGATGAGTGGTGGTCATGGACTGAGCTCCATTTGAGTTCGATAGATACTTTGGCCACCAAACTTGAGTATTTTGTTATTGAACCACAAAACTATTTTTACTAGTCTAACCAAACAAAAAGTTTTACACTCTTACTATGTTTTTTTACTAAACTATGTACAAATATTTACCAATTGCTCTGGATTGAGAATTATTTATAAAATAATAGTGTTTTTTATTAAATGGTAAAATAAAAGATGTGGCCCATTTTTTTTATGTCATTTTCCCCCAATTTGTATTCATCGTCATCTGCATGTGTCGTCTATTGTCATCATTTCGTCGGATAACCGCAACGAAACCACCGATGAATCTTTGCATCTCTGGCGCCGTGCTAGAGAACTCTCTCTTATCGGTGAGAAACCATATTTCATGTTATTCCACTAACCATGTCATCGGAGAAGTCGGTTCTTCTCCTCGTCCTCATTCACCCTTTTATCATATTCCCTACTCTGGTTGCAGTGTCAACCGGTAGCTTGTCCAGTGGAGTGAACTACTTATGCAAAATCATAAACCTTTGACCAACTTATGCTCCATCATTGTCCACGTAACAATCTTTATCTAATTTATTTCCCCTTTACATATTACTAGGCGAATGTCTGTGTATTATGCAGAAACACATATATATATAGTTGAAGTCTTTACAAATATATGTTTTTTTAATATAGCAATAACAGTGTTGTTAAATTTGATATAATAATTCATATACTAAATTGATATAATGTATTGTTTATTTTGAATTATATGATAGTATATGCATCTATTATAACTACATAATCTCAATCATTTGAATGATTTCTACCTGCATGTTACACATTAATAAAATTAAATATAATATATTGTTTAATGTTATTTATAGTTGTTGTTATTGTTAATTTATTTTTTAAAATTTATATGCTTAATATTTTAATTTTTATCATTATAATTATTTAAAACATCAAACATTATTTTTTGATGTTAAATGTAACAATATAATCATTTATATAGAGTTATTTTTAACTATTGTTATTATAAGTTATTTTAAGCTACTTATTTGAAAAGTTTTAACGATTATAAAAATATATTTAGGAAATATTTTAATTAAATTGAGATTACAATTTAGTTTTTGCATTTATCACTACAAGTTATCAATTTTAACTATTTACAAAACATTATTTGGTTTTTTAAGTGGGACTAAAATTTATATTTAAGTTGGCATTGTAATGTTATATTTAAAATAACAATTTAAGTATTTTGTTCAAACTGTTCAAAAGTTGTAGCTTTAAACTGATAACGGTTTACATACAACAACATATTAAATCTAATAAATTAAGTATAATATGTTAAAAGTTAAAGAGATAACTTTATAAGTAGAAGTAAATATATTATTTTAAAATTGAAATTTAGTATATTTATGATTACACTTTAGGCTTGATATTTATTTAACATTATTAACCAACTTATAATCATTATTATAAAAACACTACAATTAATCACTTTTAACTATTTACAAAATATTCTTTGGGTTGTTTAAGTTAAACTAAAATTTATATTTTAGTTCACCCTGTAATGTTATATTCAAATTAATAATTGGAGTATTTTATACAAATTGTTCCAAAATTGTATTTTTAAAATGATAATGGTTTACATCCAACAATATATTAAAGCTAATAATTAAGTATAATATGTTAAAAGTTAAAAAAAATCACTTAATAAGTAGAAGTAAAGATATTATTTTAATATTGAAATTTAGTTTATATATAATTACACTTTATGTTTGATATTTATTTAACCTTATTAACTAACTTATAATTATTATTAGAAAGAAACTGAAAAGTCATGGGAGTTTCAAATGAATGTGGTGAAAGGAAAAAATACATGGGATTTTCAAATGAATGTGGTGAAAGGAAAAATGTTTCATTTATAATATAGTATGAAATGATGATATAATGATATGATATTATGATATAGATATATAGAAATATACGTTATATTTAAATTAACAATTTAAATATTTTGTCCAAACTTTTCAAAAGTTGTAGCTTTAAACCGATAATGGTTGACATATAACAATATTTTAAATCTAATAAATTAAGTATAATATATTAAAAGTTAAAGACATAACTTTATAAGTAGAAGTAATGATATTATTTTAAAATTGAAATTTAGTTTATTTATTTAACCTTATTAACCAACTTATAATTTTATAAAAAAATTGAAAAGCCATAGGAGTTTCAAATGAATGTGGTGAAAGGAAAAATACATAGGAGTTTCAAATGAATATTGTGAAAAGAAAAATGTTTCCTCTATAATATAATATGATATGATGATTATCAAGCAAATCCTTTTGTATCTAGTGATCTTTGACAAGCCCCTTACATTTTTGGGGATTTTCTTAAATCATAATGTATGAAACTTTAAAATTACGAACATAAAGTTTTTTCTTTTAGAATGTACAATCAACTACAAGCTCCAAGAAACAAATCATTGAATGATTTGATGCCATGAAGGGTTAAATATACTTCAAACGGACCATAATTTATATATGTGTAGTTATTAAAGGAAGAAAACCCATAAGGATTCATCATCCATTTCTGGTAATTATTTAAACTATTAGGTATTTTGTGAACTTGAATGCAGGGTTTAAAAATTAGGTTGGAGTATATTGGTAGTGTAAAAAACTGAACGGTGTTCTTTAATAAGCTAAATTAAACCTAACGTAAAAAATGAAAGTAACAGTTGTAGGTGTGTTTAAAATATGAAGTGTTGCTGCGAATTCCATGGACAAGCGATAAACAATGAGATGTTGTTAAAAAACAAATTTTTTTTTTCTAATATAAATTATAAGGGGACCACAACACTTTTATTATTTTTGGGAGATATTTTTCAAAGTACCAAGGAATGGTAAATATTTTTTTTAAATACCATAACAAAACTACATGTACATATACATAACTTTTTTTAGAGAAAAGAAAACATAAGAAGCAATTAAACTAAAATGACCATCATAGGAGACACACTACCTAAATTATGGTTTAATCGGACATAAACCAAATACCACATAAAAAAAAGCAAATCGTGTTTCTTACGCCGAACACACCTCAACATCCTATCATAAGCTTTATGTATATAGTTGTTGATTAAATTGTAACATCCCAAAAACCATGATAATTTTTTTTTTCATTTTTAATAAAACATCCTTTTAATAATGTTATATAATATAATCAGCCATTGTTTTCAATCAAATCCATAGAAAATCATAATATCAATAGTCTCTCAAAACATAGGATAGCAGGAGGATGTGTGCAATTACGCCTTTGTCTTGCCCCAATCATCAGAACTACCTAAAAACATTAGAATCAACAACTGTAATTCAAAGTTCAGTGAGTTCCCCCAAAATACCTCACACAACAATACATATACAATACATTCACACCCGGCTAACAGTATATAACTAGATTGCTCTCGGGCCCACACTCCTCAGACTGGATTTCCCCTAGGCCCACAACACACGGTTAGATTGCTCCAAGTTTGTTGACCTACAACACAAATTTGTATTGCCTCAATCTAACCACATTATATCGACATATGCAAACAGTAATCTGTAACACTAGTCAAAATAGGTCAATAACAATCACATGTGATTATGTTAATCACGTAATGTGATTTTGTTAAACTAGTAATGTAATAAACTCACTATGTATTTCATGATAATTCTAATATAAATATGAAATTTCATACATACTTTATGGTATAAATCAAAGTATATGTCCATACGATTCCAAAAATATAGAGAACTTCTAAATCTGACTTCGCATGAAGAAGTTATGATAAATCGAACACTATAAAATCTCTATAACATAAGGAATTTAAAATAGGCTTAGAATTAGCTATTTGAGTCTAAAATAGAGTTGTAGTGCTCGTAAATACCTATACGTGGATATAAAGAACGTCAAAAACGGAGTTTGTATGCAAAAGTTACGACCTTCCGAAGTTACAGCTATCTGAGTGCACAACACGTGTCAGAAACCCTAATCTGACTGGACTCACGACGTGAGCCTAAAAACTCACGACGTGAGGAGTCAAACCGCCTCATTTTTCATCTAGAAGTCTACAGAACGATAACCCAAAAGCTCACGACGTGAGCAAGGTTTTCTCACGACGTGAGGACGCTGCAGGACACGAATCGGGGCTAGAAAACACGCATTAAAGCTATGGGATAACTCTTACCATAATTCACGACATGAACCTATCATTTCTCACGTCGTGAGGGCCAAAAATCAGCCTATAAATAGCCATTTCGACCCCAAGGCTCATTATACCATTTCTAGCTGTTATACTGCCTAAATGTTATGAAATTAGGAGTAATGTTTAAAAGCATAGTCTAGTAACTTAGGGTTTTAGACACGAAAATGCTTTTGTTGTTAGAACTATAGAACATCGTCAAAGTTTACCTGAGCTACTGTATTCATCATCTAAGATTGGGGATCTTAGTGAAAGTCCTCTGACCTTTATTCGTTAATCCCGTGTGAGCGAGGAAGTCGTGTATAAATAGTATACGGGTTGACCACCCCACTTGTGACTGTTAGCTACAGTCAACCAAAAGCGAGTGATGTGTAACATCCCGGAATATCAAGAGTAGAGTTGAAGGGCTAAAAGTGTAAATTTGAAAGGGCAACTCGGTGAGTCGATGGGTGGACTCGGCGAGTATGGTCGCGACTCAAGTCACGTATTAAGTGGCCAACTCGGCGAGTCCAAGGCTGGACTCAGCGAGTAGGCGTTGAATGGAGAAAACCCTAAATCCGGAGGATGAGCCTTATTTAAAGGACATTATACCGTCTCCCCAGCCTCTTTGATCTCCCTTGAAGTCCAAAAACCCTAGATACGTAATTATGGAGGATTTGAGTGCATTTGGAGCTT